GCACTTGTACGTGTGAGTCAAACTCTTCAAAGAATGTAGGGTTTTGGGTTGGGGTTTGGGGCTGCCTCTAAGGCTCCCAGACCACATCAGATTTCAGAGCAAAACACCCTAAACCCTAAAACCCAAAAACCCAAAACCCAAAACCCTAAACCCTAAACCCTGACCCCTCACCCCTGAACACAGGGGCAATGTTCACCAAATAGGGTTTAGGATTTAGGGTTTAGGGTTTAGGGTTTAGGGTCCTCGAAGCCTAGAACCCCTCATCTCGCGAGACCCCTGGCTCTTGTTCGACGAGGTCACCGGGCCCCTGCACCTGAAGATTCTGCCAGCTGGCGGAGTGGATGGCGAGGCCGTTTTTAGGGTCAGGGGTTTAGGGTTTAGGGTGTAGGGTTTAGGGTTTAGGGTTCAAAGCTGTCCGCATCCTAGACGAGAGAACCCTAACCCGAAAAAACCCTATGAAGCCTCAGCCCGGCCTAATCTCATGCCAAAACCCCTACACACCCTAAGCCCCCACACCCCTGAACCCTAAGCCGTGAAGCCCTAAACCCTGAACCCGTCGTATGGTTTCTTTTGCTAGAATTCTAAGTCTTCAAATGGGGTATGCCCCCCCCCCCCCCGCCCCCCTCCCTAAACGTTCGAGTCCGGACCCCTCGCGCGGAAACCCCCGTGGCCGATCGGTTCTCTAGATCATGTCCCATTCTGGGGCATTCAGAAACAGCAAGGGCACGGATTTTGCATGATGATAAGGCTTCCTTTGAAGTCGCCTCTAAACCCTAACCCCTAAAATCTAAACCCTAAACCCTAACCACATTAACGCAAAATCTTTTGCCCCTGCACCCTGCTGAGGCTTCCGTCGGCAAGGTCCTCGCCAGCCTAGGTCCGGGAGTAGGCCGCGCCTCCTCACGGTTTAGGGTTTAGGGTTTGTCGTTTAGGGTTTAGGGTTTAGTTTAGGTTTAGGGTTCAGGGTTTAGGGTTTAGTGTTTAGGGCCACAAAGCTCGAGATGCGAGGTGCAGGTACCAGGATCGTTTAGGCTTCAGGCTCCTGTTTTCTGGGTCTAGGATCGGGTACGGCTTCCCCGCTCTTTCTGTGGCTGAACCCTGTCTAAACCCTAAACCCTAACCCAACCCTAAACCCTAAACCCTAAACCCTAAACCCTAAACCCTAAAAACCCTAAACCCTAAACCCTAAACCCTAAACCTAAACCCTAACCCTAATCCCTAGACAAGACAATAGCAGCCTCAACTCTATGAGGCGGAGGCCCTTGCCCATGAGAGCCCGCCTTGTTCTCCCTACAAAAGACACCGCACTTCCTGATGAAGGCAAAAATGCCCCCCCCCCCCCCCCCCCCCCAAAAAAAAAAAAAAAAACCTTCCGCAGGTTTTGCCACCTTAACTTGACAGTAGGTTCCATCAGACTGGCCTGCGAAGGGCTAGAGAAGCAGCGAAGAGGTCCCTCTCCTCACGGCACCTCTCCACGCCAGTTCTCAGTGGCTCAGACCTGAGAAAAAAAGAACCATGGCTGAGGCATGTCTGAGATGGTAGCCCAGTAGCCCATATACGCACACCAGACCCCGAGCCGACAGAAGGGGCCTTTGAAACCTCGCAGCCACTTGTCAGTTCGCAAAGCCACTCCCCTAGGAGCTCCTTGCGTGCAGTGTTTAGCTTGTCGCTAGTTTCTCTTAGCCTTGCAGCCATGGGAGACTTTGAATTGAAGAAGGCTGAACAATTCGGTTTGGGATTGGAAGATGGGGGTTTGATCTAAGGGTCCTTCTTGGGAGTCTCTAGGTTCATATGGGTTTGTGAGGGAAAGGTAGGGTTACCTTGGGAACAGATATTCGGGTCAACTACCTCATGGGATCCCTTTTGGGGTACCCTAAATTTTAGGTGCCGTATTAGAATAGGGATCCAAAAAGGGACCATAATTTTGACTGCCACCTACATGGCGCCAGAATACAGGATGCAGTCATCGAGGAAACCGAAGCTCGACCTCGGAGGGGCGGCTTCGGGTTTAAGATGCTTAGGGTTTCGGGGTTTAGGGTTATATAGGGTTACATAGGGTTACATAGGGTTAATTACATCGTATTACATCGGGTTTTTATAGGGTTATATAGGGTTGTATAGGGTCATATAGGGTTGTATAGGGTCATATAGGGTTATATAGGGTTATATAGGATTTAAGATGGTTTTAAGAAAGTTCTTGCTGGGACTTCCATGATGACCTCTACAAGAACCATGCCCTGAGGACCCTAAGTGCTGTAACAACCCAAATTTTCGGGCTTGGGGTTTAGGGTCTGGGCTTTTAGGTTTAGGGTTGAGGGTTGAGGGTTTAGGGTTTAGGGTTTAGGGTTTAGAGTTTAGGATTTAGGTTTATTGTTTAGGGTTTAAGGTTTAGGGTTTAGGGTTTAGGGTGGGGGAGGGGGGGCAGGCCACTTCTTTCTACTCAATTTGGGTAGGAGAGGGGTTGGAAAACAGACGGAGCTCGACAATAGTGGCCCCCTGACATATAGTTCCGTATTGCAGCAGGAACCCCAAAAGGGACGCAAGTGAGAAATTACCATGTCAGGGCCCATGAAGGGTAGTATAGCTACAGTGGTATTGATTAGACCTTAAACAATAGCTCCAAAACCGTAAACTAAGCCCTGGAAGACTATGTGGGGGTGTGCGACGAGAAGGGAGCCCGAAATAGACCCCCAAGTAGTAGGATTCCCTTACAAGAAGGACCCCCAAGAAGGTAACCCTAAACCCTAAACCCTCAACCCTAAGCCCTATAAACCCAGAACCCAAAACCCTAACCCCCCCCCCCCCCCCCAATGTGAGCTGCACAGGAGGGGAACCCGTTGCGGCGCATCCGGACAGTGCCGAGTATGGCGGACGAAGCCCAAGGACTGTCCTATGATGAAGGCGGGCCATGTTTAGGGTTTAGGGTTTAGGGTTTAGGGTTTAGGGTTTGGAGTTTTGGGGTTTAGGGTGTAGGGTTTAGGGCTTGGGGCTTAGGGAACCTTTAGGGTTTAAAACCCTGTAGGGTTTAGGGGGTGAAAGGGTCTCTTGGTAGCCCAGTGGTACCCTTTTTCCTTTTTTTTTGGTTGAAGCTTCCCTTCTAAAGTAATTAACCAACCCCAAAACGGGGGCCCTTACTAGAATATGGTTACTGGGCTGGGTCTACAGGGAGGGTTCAGGTCCTGAGGCGATGTCATGAAGGTTCAATGGAGTCTTTGGGCCCTGGAAGACTCGGGGGCGCGTGGATGCTGGCGCATACGTACACCCTGCATCCCAAACTGTGCTTCTAAACCCCAAAGCCCAAACCCCAAGCCCCAAACCCCAAGCCCGAACCCACTCCTGGCACAGCGGCTTCGCGGTTCCCGGGCTTCGGCACGACACGGACCTTGAATTCAAGGAGGTTGAGGGTTTAGGGTTTAGGGATTAGGGTTTAGGGTTTAGGGTTTAGGGGATCCATGTGAGTCCCTTAAACCACAACCCCCAAACCCCAAAACCCGCCAAGGCCCCTCATATTGGCCCTTCTAGCAGAAGCCTCTCTGTAGGCCCGCAGCGCCAGCCGGGATCCTTCCCGCTCATGCGCGAAGAATCGGGCAGCTCAGGCGGTCTGGGGGGGGAAAGGGGCGGGGTTTGAGGGGTTTAGGACGTGCTGCGCAGTTTCTTGCCACTGCCATTGAAAGTTCAAGGAGAGGGCGAAACCTAAGCTTGTGAGGCCCAACAAGCCCGCACCCCAAAGCAGCGGGGGGGAGGGGGGGCTCACTCACTTTCCGCTGGGTGGACGCGCTTCACAAAAAACACACAGGAACAACACATTGTTCCATGCAAGCACTCCTTAAACCCTAAGACCCCTTAAATACTATTTGCAGACCCCCCCCCCCCCAAAAAAAAAAAAAAAAATCAGACAATCCTTGTAAGGGTAACATAGGGACTCTTCTCTTTCTGACCGTCCGCGAAACTCTCGGAGCTGCCTTGTAGAAGCCCGAAGCCCTCAGCCTCCATGCTCTGAATGCTCCATGTGTTCAAGCCATTTGGCTGGATACGGCCATACTGGCAGCAGAAACGGGGTTTAGGGTTTAGGGCCCTAGGGTTTAGGGTTTATGTCTTTCCGGAAGTCCGCATCCCACCCCCCCCTCGCAATTCCCCCCCCCTCCCCCCATCCCCCCATCCCGGTCCCCTCCGCGAAGCATCTCAAGTCCGCGAGACTTGGCCTGAGGGGACACACTGCAAAGGAGGTTCCAACATAAAAGCCCACACCGTACACCCCAAACCCTAAACCGTTGTTGGGGTTTAGGGTTCAAAACCCTAAACCCTGAACCCTTGTTGGGGTTTAGGGTTTAGGTGTACGAACCGCCGCTTGGAGGGGATCCATGTGTAAAGTGAAAGCGGTTACCTTTGGGGGTTTCTGAAATTAGGGGGTGCCTTATAGGGGTCCTCATATTAAGGGGAACCTACCAATTTGGGGGGGCCCTAAACCCTAAACCCTACACCCTAAACCCTAAACCCTATATATTATAAACCCTAAACCCTCATGTTGTGGGAATGCATCAAGCCGCCACACGCCCAGGCTTGATGCCTAGGATGAGGACGAATGGCTACAGCCCTCCCTCATCTGGCGAAGGCGTGCGGAAGGCTGGCATACCACCTCAAAGCCCAAACACTATAACCTTAGACCCTAGACCCTAGACTTACCCTAAACCCTAAACCCTAAACCCTAAACCCTAAACCCTAAACCCAAAACCCTAAACCCTAAACCCTAAACCCTAAACCCTGACTCTAGGAGAGGCTTGACCAGGGAGTTGCATGAGCCCAGCGGTGCAACCCAACCAACAGATCCGAAACCCGAAACCCGAAACCCGAAACCCGAAACCCGAAACCCGAAACCCGAAACCCGAAACCCGAAACCCGAAACCCTAAACCCTAAACCCTAAACCCTAAACCCTAAACCCTAAACCCTAAACCCTAAACCCTAAACCCTAAACCGCGGCCAGCGCGAGGTCACCAGTGACATGCGGAAGAACGCCAAGCCTGCGCGGGTCGCGCGGGCGCTGCCGCCGCACCAGGCTCGATAATGGTAGAACTCCCCGGAACTTAAACTGGGTTTGGGGTTTAGGGTTTAGGGTTTAGGGTTTAGGGTTTAAGGTTTAGGGTTTAGGGCGCAAGGAAAGGGGTTTAGGCTTTAGGGATTAGTCGAGAGTTATAACGTTATTTCGGGGGAGTACTGACCCTACTTGTGACTATAGAACGAATGGTAGGAAGTCCTTGAAACCCTACACTTGATCTTAAACCTCAGTACTAACTAAGCCTTAACCCCAAGAGCCCTAAACACTTCGGCCTTATTACTAAAAACCCTGAGCCCTCTAAACACTGCCACCCTGATACAATCCTTCCATGATGAGGCCTTGCTGCTCCTCAAGGCAGGAAACGAACGCTTCGTGCGCGGTCGGCCCATGGCGGACAAGATGCTTGGCGGCTTGAAGTCCCTACTAGGCATCCATGTGGGGGTTTACGAAAACAGACAGACCCCAAAAAAGGGTTTGGGGCAGCACAAGAAGGAAAAGGGTGTCGTCAATGAGGGTGCCTGTCAATCCACGCGAGTCCAATGCCAACGTAGGGACATGTTTTACTTTAGTCAGTTGGGGTCCTTTCTTCTGAGCTTCTTGAAGGTCTATAAGTCGATATTATATAGTAACGTTGCAGGCACCCCAAATGTAGTTATAACCAATTGTAACGTCTAGCTATAAGTACTCTATTTGTATCTACGGTTCTTAGTTTCGAGAATTCCACGCTATCACCCGCCTATGTTGCCCGCTGCAGGAGTATTTTAGGGACCCTGAGTTTTAGTGCTACGCGACCTTGGAGGGAGGGGGGGGGGGGGGAGGGGGGGGGGGGGATGTGGGGGGGGATGGGGGGGGGATGGGGGGGGGGATGGGGGGGGGGATGGGGGGGGATGGGGGGGGATGGGGGGGGATGGGGGGATTGGGGGGGGGGGGGGGATGGGGGGGGGGATGGGGGGGGGGATGGGGGGCGGGGGTGGGGGTGGGGGGCACCAACACCCAAGCCCTGAGCCCTGAACCCGAAACCCTAAACCCTGCACACATCACACCTTCACAAGGATGGACAACTTGACGCGGAAGCAGAGCCGCTTGCCTCGACCCAAGTCCCCACAACACTCGTCGCTGAGCTTTAGGGTTTGGGTTGGTGTACATCTTTTTTCTTAAGAGGATGCCTATAGGGCAGTCGCTTTATCTCGCATGGCCTGGAAGGGTTCCGGGTGACTGAAATGGCAAAAATCCTTCTGCCTGAACCCTAACCCCTAAACCCTAGACCCTAAACTCTATGCTACAAGCGGCTTTATAGCAACGTACCGAAACAGGGTCTTGAGCTCTCAAGATCGACGTTGTACATGAGAGAGAATTCCTGGGATCGTGCGCAGATGTGCGCAGGGTTGAGGGTTTGGCACTTATTGGCGCCTAAGCTTCAATTTGTTTAGGGTTTAGGGGTTTAGGGTTTAGGGTTTAGGGTTTGGGGTTTAGGGTTTAGGGCCAGAGACCCTCAACCAGTCAATCTTCCATATAGCCAAAAAGTTCGAACACGCCTTAAACCCTAAACCCTAAACCCCTAAAACGTGGTGCCAGATTTCGAGCTCGTGAACGCACCCCACACGGCGGTCATCGGCTGTGCCGACTGTAAGGTGCCCCTGGAGACGAGCCGGGTCCGCATGTTGGGGTTTAGGGTTTAGGGTTTAGGTTCAGGGTTATTCGGGTTTATGAGAGTTTAGTGCAGCAGTTTAGGGTTTTTGAAGGTTCATGGAGAATCAGGGTTCATTATGGGTTGTAGGGTGTAGGGATTCAGGGGTTAGGTTGGGGATTTTGGAATTTTGTTTGCCTGTGACTGTGCAACTGCGTTCAGTGTTCAGCTTTTCGGTGTACTGGTGGTGTTGTACGTTTCCCCGCGAAGAAACGGTTAGAACCCGCCTTGCTGTAGTTACTCTCCTCTACTTTCAACCAGTGCTACAATGAGAAATAATCGTCCATCTCCAAGTAGGATTCCACCGGTTCAACCCTTAGGCTCCTCCTATATATACCTCATCCTTGGCCCAGGCCACTCCCCTCACAAAAAAGCAAGAACACGGGGGGAATGCTCCCTACTCATGCAACATCCAAGCGCCCTGAGGATCTTTGACGCCATGCCCGGGGACATCTACTCCCTGCGGAATGCAGCCAACACCTGCACACATGCGGAGGGGAGCATGATGGGGAGCTTGGAGTTCTGCTCCGCCACCTTAGGGAGTCGTCTCATCCTCGTCTTGGGCCACACGGAGTGCAAGGCCCTGATCAGCGCCACACGGACCTACTTTGAAGCGCGGGCGGCCGGCAAGAGGTGCACAGGCCTCAAGGGTTTGCTGGGGGAGCTCACGCAGACTGCGGAGAAGACGGCCAAGACCATGCCCGACGCTTCCTGCGAGGAGGTGGCCGCCCAGGCTGTGAGGACCAACATCTTGAACACCATGAACTTTTTGCTCCAGTTTAGTGAGGTGCTTCGAGATCGTGTCCGTAATGGGCAGTTGGAGATTGTGGGCGGCCTCTTTGATCTCCAGACAGGCAGGGTCGAGTTCCTGGGGCCCTCTCCCAATCAGGCGGCCTTGGTGGATCCCATGGCCTCCAAGATCCCCAGGGTCTTGCCCTTTGACACCCTGACCTCCCAGCAGACGCCAGTTGACGTCCACGAGCCGCACGAGAGCACCAAAGCCTCGCCGGCAGCATCCCTCCGGAAGCTGCAGGAGGGCAACGCCCGGTTTTCCTTGGGCAACTCCCAGCTCCCCAAGCAGGACATGCGCAAGGCGCTGGCCAGCTGCCCCCAGGCCACCCACAGCGCCATCGTGGGCTGCGCGGACGCGCGCACGCCCATCGACAGCATCTTCGACGCCATGCCAGGGGAGCTCTTTGTGGCGACTGGGCAGCCCCCAGTGGTGCCCCTTTTTCCCTTTCTTGGTTCAAGGTGCCCTTATCAAGTAACCGATCCCCTAAACCCCAAACCCCAAACCCTAAACCCTAAACCCTAAACCCTAAACCCGAAACCCTAAACCCTGAACCCTAAACCCTAAACCCTAAACCCTCAACCCTAGCTACCAAGGTGAAGAATGCGGGGAACACCTGCTCGCAGGCCGAGGGCAGTGTCATCGGGAGCCTCGAGTTCTGCACCTCTAAGTTAGACACGCCCCTCATCCTCGCCTCTCGCTCTTGTGATGGCGGGCAAGAGGGTTTAGGGTTTAGGGTTTAGGGTTTAGGGTTTAGGGTTTGGGGTTTGGGGTTTGGGGTTTAGGGTTTAGGTTTAGGGTTTGGGGTTTAGGGCTTAGCAAGCTTAGTAACGTTTGGGAATTTAGTAACGTTTCGGGCATTTTTGGGATGGTTCGGGACCTTTCAGGTTATTCGGTTCGTGTTCTTGATATATCTTCAGGCTTCAGACATTATCTATTCCTCCATGTTTCGTCCCTGTGCATTTGGAGCCGAGAAAACAGTAAACGCCCCAAAACCCTGCCTAAACCTCCTATACCTCAAGCCCTAAACGCCCTAAACCCAATAAACCCTAGGAAAACCTCGAAACCCCTCACGAAACCCTAGCAACCCTACAAGCCCTAGGAAAACCTACAAAAGCCCCTAATATAGAAAGCCCTGGAAACCCTCTCGAAACCCCTAGAACCCTCTAAGGTCTAAACCCCTAAACCCCTAAACCCCTAAACCCCTAAACCCCTAAACCCCTAAACCCCTAAACCCCTAAACCCCTAAACCCCTAAACCCCTAAACCTAAACCCCTAAACCCCTAAACCCCTAAACCCCTAAACCCCTAAACCCCTAAACCCCTAAACCCCTAAACCCCTAAACCCCTAAACCCCTAAACCCCTAAACCCCTAAACCCCTAAACCCCTACACCCCTACACCCCTAAACCCCTAAACCCCTAAACCCCTAAACCCCTAAACCCCTAAACCCCTAAACCCCTAAACCCCTAAACCCCTAAACCCCTAAACCCCTAAACCCCTAAACCCTAAACCCTAAACCCTAGACCCTAAACCCTAAACCCTAAACCCCACTAAGGTCTTGGGCCACACGGACTGCAGCGCCATGGCCGGAGCGACCCGGATGTTTCTGGCCTCGGAGACGGGAAAATCCCGTGAGTCCCTTGGACCGGCCCTGGATGGCCTGCTGCAGGAGACTGGGTCTTGGAGTAAGGGTTTAGGGTTTAGGGTTTAGGGTTTAGGGTTTAGGGTTTAGGGTTTAGGGTTTAGGGTTTAGGGTTTTACTTTAATACTTTTTTTTGGTTCTGGGTTCCTATTATCGCTACTTATACCTAAGAAGTATATATTTTTTCAGGGTCTACTCCAAAGCTAAGGAGAGACGGCGCACTCTCCTTTCAGTAGTTAATGCGTTTAGAGGTTAGGGTTTAGGGTTTAGGGTTAGCTTTTGTTCCAAAAAAATTGGGTCTCCCTTGGCTGATTAAACCCTAATTAAACCCTAAACCCTAAACCCAAAACCCAAAACCCTAAACCCTAAACCCTAAACCCTAAACTACGCAGGACCTGATCGCCGTGATCTCCAGGGCCAGGGCCCTCTACCCGAAGGCCAATGCCGAGGAACTGGCTCACCAGGCGGTGAAGCTCAACGTGGACGCTTTCTCTTCCTCCAGCACCCTACTTCTAAGACGTTTTTGGCCTCACCCTAAACCCTAAACCCCAAACCCTAAACCCCAAACCCCAAACCCCAAACCCTAAACCCTAAACCCCAAACCCCAAACCCTAAACCCTAAACCCTAAACCCCAAACCCTAAACCCTAAACCCTAAACCCCAAAGATGGCGCTAGTAGCAAGGACAACACCATGGAGTTCCTCCTCCGCAGCGAGGCGCTGAAGGAGCTCGTGCGACGCGGGGACCTGGAGATCCAAGGAGGCATCTACCAAGCCGAGACCTGGTCCTGTCTTATTTAGGGTTTAGGGTTTAGGGTTTAGGGTTTAGGGTTTAGGGTTTAGGGCTCAGGGCTTAGGTATAACCTTTAACCTCTTGGGTGTGTTCTAATCCCTAGAAAATCCCAAAGGTTAGCCTTTAATTCCCCTAAGTTATCTTTAGTAAAAAGCGCCCCCTTTTTTAAGGGAAGTCTCTCGCTGCTTCCACCAGGGTCCCAACGACGGGCCCGGCTTTTTTGGGGGGAGAGGGTGGGGCGGTGTGCTAAATCGACCCCGCCCTTGGGTATGCTAGAAACCCTGTAAAAAGCGTGTCTTAAACAAGTGTCTAGACACACCCCTCCCCCCCCCACACCCCCCCCCCCCCCCCCTAAATATCGCGCTTTTTTTTGAAGCGTCTAACTTTCAGGAGATGGGCTGCGTGGAGTTCGTTGGGCACTGCAGCCGACAGGCCGAGCTCCTCGCCTTGGAAGAGGCCGTGCCCCGACGCGAGGACTCCTCCGCCTCTGACAGCTCCTCCGGGGCGCCTCCGGCCGAAGTGGCGCTGAAGCTCCTGCAGGAGAACCCCCCAAAGAGAGCGCCCCCCCCAAATCCGCGGATTGTGGCCCCTGTAGAAGAAGACTCTTAAAGCCCTAAAGCCCCAAAACCCTAGAATGCCCCCCCGGCAAAGGCCCAAAGACCCTAACAACGAAAAACAATCCTAAACTCCTAAAGCCCTAAAGCCCCAAAGCCCCGAAACCCCAGAACGCCCCCACGGCCCCCTAGAACCCTCAGGAGGGGAACGGGCGCTTCGTGGGCGGCACTGCGGTGGCCAACCGCATCAGCCCGGAGGTTCGGAAGCGCCGAGGTTTTGACTCATCATCATTTACTTAAGAAGCCCCAAAAGACAAAACAATAATCCCTATGATGCCCTTCATGAGGAAGAATGTTACTCTTATTTTTTTTCGGGGGTCTTAAGCAATTAGTAGTCATGGGTTACTCCATGCTTCCCCGCCCTAGAAATAACCTTAATGAGAACCTTAATAGCCTAGTTATCCCTAATTCGAACCTATAGGGCGGGGGGGTGGGGGGGGGTATTGAGGGGGGGGGGGGGGGGGGCCAGTAGGGGAACCCATAAACTAAGGTTGAGACCTGCATTTCCCCTTATTCCCCTTTGATAAAAGGGGGGCTGATTTCGCATCCCATATCATATTAATGTCAGAATTGTTCTAGAGGTGTATATGGGGGTTTACGAAAATAGGGGACCCCTCAAAGTATACCCTTCTATTCTGGTTCAAGGGTAGTTGGGAGGTGTCTTAGGGGTTTAGGGTTTAGGCTTATTCGAGTGGTATGGGGTTGAAGGTTTTTCTTTTTTTGTTTGGGGGGGTAGGCTGGGTTTAGCAGTTCTTTTTGGGGGGTTTGCTGCCAGGGTCGCTTTCGCAAGAGTCTTTTCGTTTATTGGGTTCAAGAGGATGTATGTCGGAATCCGTTTCATGCACCTTCTCTTGACCTGGAGGTTTAGGGATTAGGGTTTGGGTTTAGGGGTTTGGGTTTAGGGTTTAGGGTTTAGGGTTTAGGGTTCAGGGTTTAGGGTTTAGGGTTTAGGGTTGCTTCTGGGTTGTAGACACATTTTGATCGGAAGCCTCAAGAGAACTCATCTTCCTCGCGCGAGCGTCGCGCGGAAATTTCTTGAGCAGATCCATGGAAAGGAGCCCTGCCTCGTGAAGCCCACCTCCTGCGGCACAAGCCACGAAAGGGTTTAGGGTTTAGGGTTTAGGGTTTCGGGTTTAGGGTTTAGGGTTTAGGGTTTAGGGTTCTCGCAAGTGCAATGTTTTGCCAGCTGCCGCAAACGTTAGAAGCCCCCGAGAACCGCGGCGAGCGAGTGTGAGGTTGACAGAGGTGATCGTTTCCTTTTTCTCCGTGTTTGTAGGGTTTAGAGAGTTCCAAGACCCAACCACCCTAAAACCCTAAACTCCTAAACCCTACATCCCTAAACACCCTAAACCCTAAAACCCTCTAAACCCTAAAACCCTAAACACCCTAAACCCTAAACACCCCTAAACCCCCTAAACCCTAAGCACCCTAAACACCCAGGAACATGGACACCACCCAGCCGCCCCACACGGCGATCATCGGCTGCGCCGACTCACGGGTTCCCATGGAGACCATCTTCGATGCCCTGCCCGGGGACCTCTTCGTGCTCCGCAACGCAGGAGACGGAGGGTTTTAGGGGGGGGGGTTTTGGGGGGGGTTTGGGCGGGTTTTGGGGGGGTTTTTGGGGTGTTTTGGGGCTTTAGGGCTTTGGGGTTTTGGGGTTTTGGGGTTTTGGGGTTTTGGGGTTTTGGGGTTTTAGGGTTTCAGGGTTTTAGGGTTTTAGGGCTTTAGGGCTTTAGGGTTTCGGGTTTGCCCCCTACAAGACCCCAAAGGCGCCCCAAAAAAGAAGCCCAAAACTCGCAGCCTCATGCCTTAATCCCTCAGCCACGTGCTTCAAAGACAAATGAAACCTAAACCCTAAACCCTAAACCCTAAACCCTAAACCCTAAACCCTAAACCCTAAACCCTAAACCCTAAACCCTAAACCCTAAACCCTAAACCCTCTTTCTGAACCTTGATCCGCAAGGAAACACCTGCACCCACGCACAGGGGAGCATGGTCAGCAGCTTGGAGTTTCCAGGCGGAGATTCAGTTCAACTGCTGGCCTCACACACGGGGATTTACTATTACTTGCTTAAGAGAACCCCCCCCCCAAAAAAAAAAAAGAAAAAAAGAAAGAAAGAAAAACAAATATATGTATATATATATAAATACATATAAACTCTATATTACCCTTGTAAGGCAAGATATGTATACATATATATATATATATAGAGATCCTTGTGTTTTAAATGTTTTTTGTGGGAGGGGGGGACGGGGGGGTTCTTAGGCAATTGGTAGGTTATCAGACAACCCTAAACCCTGTAACCCCAAGCTCTACAAGCCCTACTTGCAGCAAGTGTACGAAACACAATTTGCAAAATGCGTATCCTCGGCAATGTCTTAACCCCAAACAAGCACGAAACAAAAAAATATAGCAACGCCGCCCAGATCTTGTATTACATAAGTTCTAAGAAAGAAAAACCAAAGGAAAATATAACAAAAAAACAGAAGCCGCCCAGATTTTGTATCGACAAGCTGCAGACCAAGCTGGTGCTTGTGCTGGGACACACCCAGTGCGATGCCCTCGAGCGTGCCGCGGAAGCCCACCGATGCCCCAAAACCGACCAGCGCGGCAAGGCGGGCGGGCGGGGGGAGGGGGGGGGGAGCATTTGGGGGGCATTGGGGGGTTTAGGGGTTTAGGAGAACTTGGGGCTTAGGGCTTGTTTTTGTTTAGGAGTTTAGGGTGTAGGAGAACTTTGGGCTTAGGGTTTAGGCGTTTAGGGTTTAGGAGTTCAGGGTTTGTTCGGTTGGTAGTTGCTCTGGGGGTAGTTTTGCTTGTTTCTGGTTGGTTAGGTTTTATTTGGGCGTTTGGGCGTTTGGAGATTCAGCGAGCTGTGTGGGGCTTAGGCGTTTGGGGGTGCGAGATCTAAGCCACCGTTGGGCTCGGAAAAAAAACTTAACCTTACGCCGTACATGCGCCCGGAGCCCTGAACAATCAAACCTCTCTTGTTGTTTTTAGGATTTAGGGTGTGGGTTTAGGGTTTAGGGTTTAGGGTTTAGGGTTTAGGGTTTAGGGTTTAGGGTTTAGGGTTTAGGGTTTAGGGTTTAGGGTTTATAGGGTTTAGGGTTTGAAGAACTCATATTCATCACCGCACCGCGCACCCGTTTGAGCCTCTACCTTGATGGACCCCTGGACCCCAAACCATCCGCCACCACTTTTCTGAGAATTCGACTTCCCGCGAGCCTGCGCCTCTAAACCCTAAACCCTAAACCCCTAAACACCGAGCTCCGAATCAAGCTTACTGGTTCTTTGGGGTTAAGGGTTCAGACAACCCCTGAGTCAAAAGCAGAACGCACCCTAAACTCCCTAAGCCCACTCAACCCTCTAGACCCTGATTTTCCTACCATGAAACCCTGAAAATTCCTCATCCCGAAAAACCCCATAAACCCTAAACCTTCAACCCTGCACCCTGAACACTCCAAGCCCTACCAACCTAAATCCTACACCTTCAACCCTGACCCCTAAGCGCCCTAAACCGCCTCAAGCCTATCCCTTCAAGCCTGAGAACCCTAAAAACCACAAAACCACTAAACCGCTAAGCCCTAGCCTTCAACCCTGAAGAACCTAAACGAGTTCACCCTAACATCCCTAGAACCCCTAACCCCCTAAACACCCTAAACACCCTAAACCCTAAAAGCCCTAAAAACCCTGAAAGCCCTACATGCCCTAAAAGCCCTAAAAGCCCTAAAAGCCCTAAAAGCCCTAAAAGCCCGAAAAGCCCTAAAAGCCCTAAACCCTAAACCCGAACCTCAAACCCCTAGAAGCCCCTTAAAAAACAGGCCTCGGATGATTTGGTCGAAAGCATCTTCGTCAGCACAGCCGCCGCCACGGCGGAGCTGGGACCTGCCGCTTCCACCGCCCCTGAGACTGAGCTTTGGGGTTTAGGGGTTTGGGGGGTTTGGGGGTTGAAGGGTTTGGGGTTTAGGGGTTCAGGGGTTTAGGGTTTAGGGTCTCGGGTTTGGGGTTTGGGGGTTTGGGGTTTGGGGTTTGGGGTTTAGGGTTTGGGGTTTAGGGTTTGGGGTTTATAGGGTTTAGGTTTTGGGGTTTAGTGGTTTAAGGGTTTGGGGTTTAGGGTTTAGGGGTTTAAGGGTTTGGGGTTTAGAGCTTTGGGGTTTAAGGTTTAGGGTTTATAGGGTTTTGGGTTTAGGGTTTGGGGTTTAGGGTTTGGGGTTTTGGGTTTTGGGTTTTGGGTTTGGGGTTTTGGGTTTAGGGTTTTGGGTTTAGGGTTTTGGGTTTAGGGTTTGGGGTTTAGGGTTTAGGGTTTTGGGTTTAGGGTTTGCGGTTGGGGGTTTAGGGTTTATAGGTTTAGGCCCCGAAGACTGACCGCTTTGGGGGCGTTGGGATATGGGGTGTATAGAGTTTAGGGCTTTGGGGTGTGGGGTTTAAGTGTTGGGGTGTCTTTTTTTTTTGGAGTAGTGTTGAGGGGTGTAGGGCTTTTGGGTTTTGGGGGTGTTTTGGGCTGCAGCGTTGAGGGTTCTGGGCTTAGGGTTTAGGAGGCTTGTACCTGCGAAGAACCCGCAACCCTCAACCCTGAGCCCACTTTGTGGGCAGGGTTTGGTTTAGGGTTTAGGGCTTAGGGCTTAGGGCTTAGGGTTTAGGGTTTAGGGTTTAGGGTTTAGGTTTTAGGGTTTAGGGTTTAGGGTTTAGGGTTTAGGGTTTGGGGTTTGCGGCTTAAGGTTTGTATCTTCGGGCGGGTGTTCAGGGCTCGGAGGTTTTGGGTTCAGCGTCTTAGGGACTTAGAGTTGAGGGCTAGAGGGGGCTTTCGGGCTTGGGGTCGAGGATCCAAATTTTTTACGCGCCCGACAAACCCTGTGAGCCCAAAAAGCCCTATAAGTTCTCTAAGCTTCATACACTTACTATGCCCTTTCATTCCCATTTAGGGTTTAGGGTTTAGGGTTTGGGGTTACTCATTACGCCCTTTCAACCCCATAAACCCCACACGCCCTGTAAGCCGAACTAGCCCTAGAAAGAATAAGCTTTTCAACCTACATGAACCCTGCAAATTTTATAAACCCTGTAAACTCTAATAAAGACCCTGCAAACTGTAAACCCTTTACCCTCATTATCCCCTAAAAACCCTGTACGCTCTCTAAGACCTATCCCTGTGAACCCTAAACCCCCCTGCACCCTGAACCCTGAACCCCCAAATTTTAAGCCCCTTTTTTCTAACCCATTTAAACCTCAACCCCATACGGATGCTTTGTTTTCTTTTGGGTTTGCTTAGGTGGTTTGAGTTGTTCCTTTTGTTTGTTCTGTTGGTGTTCGGGGCTCTTGGGTTGTTTTTGTGAGGATTGTAGGGGTTTTCCGGGTTTAAAAGGCCTAGTGCAGGCTTGAGCATCGTGTGTCCGGGAAAGCTCTCTTAGTGAAGCCTCAACCCTAAAGCCCCCAGCCCTAACTACCCTAAACCCCATAAGCCTTAAATGCCCTAGAGGCCCTATAAGCCCTAAATACCCCAAACCCTGTAAGCCCTAAATACCCTAAACCCTTTAAGCCCTGCAAGTATCCCAAACCCGAAGCCCTACAAAACCCTCCACCGCGCCCCATGCCTATTCCAGGAAGAGGTAGCCGGCCTAGCGACGAAGTGGAACGTCTTCCACACCATGCAGTGCCTTTTCGAGTACAGCTCGACCATCCGCGACAAGGTCAGCTCGTAGGGTTTGGGCTTCGAAGAATTTCGGGCCTTAAGCCACTAAACCCTTACAACCCCTGAACCCCTAAACCCCCTAAATCCCAGAACCCTAACCCTGAACCCTAAGGCCCCTAAACCGCCTAAGCCCCTAAAACCCCTAAGTCCCGTAAGCCTTCTAATCTTAGGGTCTCTGAGTCGACTTGGGGAGAGGTGCCCCCCACCCCTCCCCTGCAAACAACAGTTGAACACATCCCTTACCAAACGGAGGGCCCCAATCTTTAAACCCGCAACAAGGACTGAGAGGTTTAGGGGCTCAGGGGTTTTGGGGTTTAGGAGTTTAGGCGTTTAGGGGTTAGGAACTGAGGGTAACTTGCTGCTGTCGTGCCCTGATACGACGGGTTTCCCTTCAAATTTGACGAGCGTGTTTGCTATGGATGCTTGCTCCCAGCCCTGCCCACAGAAACAACACATCAGGAAAGCCAAACAAACAAGCCAAAAGCATCAACTCCCCTGAAAATTGTGTATCTCTTTCTTTGTTTTTTGGTGTTGGTGTTTCTGGTGTGTTCGATGTTGTTTTTGTTGCTTAATTTAATTGTCTAGTTAAAGCGCGTGTTGCATACCCAAGCTTACTCATAATAGTGATCTGAGACAAGAGCAAAAGGGTGCAGGCACAACCCAACGCAAAAATGCAGCTGGCCCTTAACCATATCACAACAAACTGTGTCAATGTGTCAGACTACTTGGTTTTCTAGATCGGGGGAACTGGCCTCTCTACTTCCTATATACCTGAGGGCCAGACCTCTCTGACTGGGAGATGCTCCATAATGATCGTTATTTGGGGGGGTTTACGGCTTGAAAACAGGGCCCCTAATAGATCCCCAAAAGGTAGGATCCTCATTAACACAAAAGGACGACGCCAACAACGTACCCCTATTCTGGAAACTCCCAATTCTTAACAAGTATGACATATCAGAATCTGGGTTACTGCAATGAACCCTCAAATATCTTTGCCTTCCTTCTCATACTTCGGGCTGTGCGAATATTGAGATGTGCCAATTTAACAAATTATCGTGTTGTTAAATCGGGATGTGAGGGGAGTGAGGTGGGTGCGGCTCCAAAGGACCCAATTCAATGGAAAGTGGATTCAGCTTGTATTTAACTTTGCGACAGCACATTGCCCTAAACCCTAAACACTCCCAAACTGATCGGCCCAGTCTTGAGGGATTATGTTTTCTTCAATGAATACACCAGTCATATGGAGGTTCGCACGTTCAACTACTAGCCACGGGGCTGGACTTATAAGCTTATCAATGGAAGATTCATTATGCACGGTGGTAAAGCACCTTAAAGTGACGCCTTGACCCCTAAACTCTAATCTAATATTCCACCACAAAGCCAACAAAGCCCAAACACCCTACTGCAACCTTGAGACTACAACCTTCTTAGCCCTTAACCCTCATCCCTTAACCCTTACAGCCCTTGCAACCCTTGCAACTTGCAACCCTTACAACCCATACAGCCCTCATACAGCCCTTCACAGTGCCCGAAAACAAGCCAGCCGCCGACCCCGCTGGAGCATAGTTGAAAGGTTTAAACGCGCTCGTCAGAAGTTGATTTGCTTGAGCCTCTGTGAAACGTTGGGGGGGGGGGGTAGGGGGTAGAAGGAGCTGAAGCCAGCTTGAAGAAGGGCAGCCCCATCAATCAAGCCCAACAAACCGGAGGGGGGGGGGGGGGGGTGGGGGGGGGGGGGGGGGGGGGGGGGGGTGGGTTGGGGGTGGTGGGGGGGGGGGTGGGGGGGGGGTGGGGGGGGGGGGGGGGGGGGGGGGGGGGGGGGGGGGGGGGGGGGGGGGGGGGTGGGTGGGGGGGTTTTCCCAAGGACGCTGTGCCCTGTGCAAACCGCCTCTGGTCCGGTGTTTAGCGGTGGGGGTCCATGGACGGGTGCCCCCCTACCCCCCCCCCCCCCCCCCCCGCGTTTTGGGAGCTCCTTTTCCCATCCAACACGCCGCCAGGGTCGGTAAACCCAAACCCTAAACCCTAAACCCTAAACCTTAAAACCCTAAACCCTAAAGCCCTAAACCCTAAAACCCTAAATCTCTTTCAGGTGCAGAAGGGCGACCTCGTGATTCAGGGAGCAATTTTTGACAGCCACACGCGCCAAGTACAGTTCGTGGGATGCCCCGAGGCAGTGCTGAAAGGCTCCCTGGGCCAAGGGTTTAGGGTTTAGGGTTTAGGGTTTAGGGTTTAGGGTTTAGGGTTTGGGGTTGAGGGTTGAGGGTTGAGGGTTGAGGGTTTAGGGTTTAGGGCTTAGGGTTTAGGGTTTAGGGTTTAGTTGATTTCTGGGTTTTGAGTTGGGATGTGCTCCCTCATACGAACCGTCCTTAATGGGGATGATAGTACCCCCGATTACAATCCCGATTCAGGACTGTTTGTGTAGGGGGGGAACATCCCAAGTTTTGGGGGTTTGGGGGCTTGAGGGCCTTGTGTGGAGGATACCTTTTTTTGGGGAGTTTTGGAGAGCTTAGGGGTCAAGGGTTGAGAAGACTCGCTTTCGGGGTCAAGTTTGGGGGGTTTCTTGGAGTAGCTGCCTGTTTCAGCCGCCACCCCGGTCAGCTACACCATACTCCGGCCCTAACCCCTTCCGTATGAGGTTGAAGGTACGAGGTTTACCATGGGAGGGCGTCCTTATGGATCTCATTTGTTATTGCTATTTCTTGCTCAATACTTGCTTAGAGCTGTTATGATTAGATGGGTTGCGCCGTCGGGTTTGCAGGAGGGGATTAAGGACCCTGGGCTGCGCACGGCCACGGCAAGGCGAAAATTAGGCAATCAGAACATCCTCCGGCTTTTCGTTGAACCCCAAACCCCATGAACCCTAAACCGCTCTAAGCCCAAAAAAGACACTAAACCTCCTTAAACCCTCTTAACCCACACCACTCCAAACCTCATCAGCCCTATTAACCCTATCAACCCTGAACCCTAAGCCCTAAACCCTAAACCCTAGACCCTAAACCCTAAACCCTAAGCCCTAAACCCTAAACCCTAAGCCCTAAAGGCCCTAAGCCCTAAGCCCGAAACCCAGAGATCACAGCTGAGGCTTCTCGGCATGGGATTCGACTCCCCAGTGGGCCGGAGCGTGAGGGGTGCAGGGAAGTTCTTTCCATCCCCCTCTCAGCCACCTTAGGGCCGTGAGAATGCAGTGTAAGCGTTTCGGGTTCAGGGTGTTTAGGGTTTAGGGTTTAGGGGTTTAGGGTTTAGGGCTTAGGGGTTTAGGGTTTAGGGGTTTAGGGGTTTAGGGTCTAGGGTTTAGGGTTTAGGGTTCGAATTACATGGTATATTCAGGTACCCCCACAAACTCCATGAAGCCTCGGCTCCAACAGGGAAAAGGGCGGCACAGAAAGGGGCCATGGGGGCTGTGCTCAAGGCAACAGCCCTGGATAGGCGCGTGCACTTGACACGAAACTCTATACGGACCCCCCGACGCTTTGGGATTTGTCGGTTTAGAGACTTCAGCCCACAAGCTTGAGATGTTTCTGCGCCAAGAGATACGGGCCGTTTCCTTCTGCCGCATGGATAAATTGTTTGACTGTCCCGGTTGTGACTTCTTCCGGGGCCGCTGGAACCATCCATATGCGGGCAGCAAGGTTGCCGGCCAAACGTTGGCCGAATGTCTTTAGTGTGCTAACTAGAGCCTGCAGCTATTTTCCCTCTTGCTTTAAGAGCTGCGACAGGACGGAAGGAATGGTATGCTGGACAGCAAGGGTCGAGGTATGTGAGGCTGAAAAAACGGCCTGTTCCAACCGACACATCGCAGTTGAAGTCTTTTCGACGATTTTCGAGGGAGCCCCCCCCCCTACCCCCCACCCCTACGAAGCCCTTTTGGGGCCCTAAGAGCCCTAAACCCTAAACCCTAAACCCTAAACCCTAAACCCTAAACCCTAAACCCTAAACCCTAAACCCTAAACCCTAAACCCTCAACCCCATCCCGTGCATGTCACAACCATGAGTCGATCAAGGCCTGCTGTGCTCCGGCTGCAGCCCGGCAAAAAACCATATGAAGTAGGGTTTATATTTCTGTTATTGGTGAGTGTATATAAGGTTCCTGTTTAATATTGGTGAGTGTATATACCTGGTGTCCTTTTGGGGGTACAAGAAATATATACCCTACTTCATATGTATCCCTTAGCGCATCCTTGGGGCTTAGGGTCCAGGGCCATTTAGGGTTTAGGAGTTTAGGAGTTTAGGAGTTTAGGAGTTTAGGAGTTTAGGAGTTTAGGAGTTTAGGAGTTTAGGAGTTTAGGAGTTTAGGAGTTTAGGAGTTTAGGAGTTTAGGAGTTTAGGAGTTTAGGAGTTTAGGAGTTTAGGGTTTAGTGTTTAGGGTTTAGGGTTTAGGGTTTTTAAGGTGTTTACGGCTTTAAGGTTGCAGGGCTGCCTTGTCACCAAATTTGAGGGTTAGGATTGGGATCCCTTGCTCAATCCCATTCAGCAGAAGAAGGGCCAGAAGGCTAGGGCGGAAACCCTAAACCCTAAACCCTAAACCCCAAACCCTAAACCCTAAACCCTAAACCCGGTTTCTGAACAGCCTGGCACATACTCCATGAAACACATCTTTCACTGGGTGCAGCATGCGGGCGAGCTTTTGGCTGTAAACTGGGCGAGAGCCTCCAAGTGTTTCGATGCACCGAGCAGACGTACCTCCCCGGCCATTGCACGAACATACAGGTTTAGGGTTTAGGGTTTAGGGTTTAGGGTTTAGGACACAACAGTTTTTTGGAGTGCTACTTCTTGCTGTGTGATCAGGTACTGCTCTGCTCACCTGCAGGAATGCCCAAATTGACACAGGCCAGCGCAGCGACAATGGGGAAGGAGCCGGGAACGGACGAGAAGGGGCCCACCCGGTCTCGGGGTTCCCCCGAGAATAAGAGGGACCGTTAGAAATGACCCGAACCGAGGGAGCGTATCATGAGAGACCTCCTTCCCACATGTCGTGCTTGTTGCACTCGGCGATGCACAGGCATCCCTTGGTATTTTTTGAGCGTTCAGACCCACATCATTTCCGTGCCCGGTTGCTCTGACCCAGCCTAGTCCCCCTGCTGAGCAGGGTCATGCCACCCCCTAAACCTTAAACCCTAAACCCTAAAGCCTAAAGCCTAAAGCCTAAAGCCTAAAGCCTAAAGCCTAAAGCCTAAAGCCTAAAGCCTAAAGCCCTTAGCCCTAGACCACCACAAACCCCTCGACTCCAATGTTCAAGCAGCTCAGTCTGCGATCTGAGGCAAGAGGCAGGCAGCCAGGCACAAGACCCATTCGCGCGACGACCAAAAGAATGTGTTAGAGCCCCATGAGTTGCTTAAGAACCCCCCCCCAAAGAATATTTTCTTATACAGTTTTGTTAGGGGTTTATTGTTCTTGCTAGACTTGTTTTTGGGATTCTTAAGCAAAATAGTAGAGAGGTATCGGACTTAGGGTTTAGGGTTCAGGGCGGAGGGCATTTATTCAGCTTGGCTGTAGCGGATTGCAGAAGACTGAGGGTGTCATGTTGGCAGATGCATACTGCAAGAGAAGATCCGACGATTCCAATTACTCAACTCGCCCTTTCTCCCTTTGCTCTCACTCTCTGGTCTCGCTCTTTCTCTCGCCCTCGCGCCCTAGCTCTTCTCTCTCTCTCTCTCTGATTCGCTCGACACAAATGTAGGTCTCAAGTGCATCATTTTTCATGGGTTTAGTGGATCTTTCTGGCTCGTGTGTTCGGACGCAGCTGCAAGACTCGCCAGAAGCTTACGCATATCTGAAGCTTTGTGGCATATCTTCAAGGTCATCTGAGGGTTAAGTCAGCCATCCCAAAACCCTAAACCCTGAACCCCCAGCAAGTTTCCCTCAGATTCCTTAGCCTCTGTACCTGAACTCTGAACCTCTCAACCCAGCCCTAGAATCTAAACCGATTTTGGCTCCAGGGAAAGGCAAGGGTAAAGAGCAGAATCTGCTGGAATCAGATTCAAGGTGCCCATGCTGGTTCGTGGAGGTCAGCACATACGCTGGAGTCCGGAAACGGGACGTTGAAAGCTTTCTCCGGCGGGAACAGCTTACATTCAGCGCAGGTCTCCCCTTCGGATTGAGTACGGCCGCTGTTGCCAAGTACTCTGGTGCACGGTGCCCCCGGTGTCAGATTTTCTGGGGACCACCCCGGTCGTTACAGGGAATGCGAAACCACGGCAGCGTAAACGGAATCTCTTGGAGGTGCCAGTGCGTGAACAAAGCCTGGACGTCGCCCCCGATGGCTCTTCGTCCTTGCACCTCTGCCCTCCTAAGTCGGACCCAGATTGCCCTGACGCACTCTTTGCCTTGTTTAGGGTTTAGGTTTTTTTTTTGTTTTTGTTTTTTTTTTGGGGGGGGGGGGGGGGGGCGCATGCACTCCTGCGCCAGTTGGCGTATGGCCCGCTCAGAGATGTGGGTGGCGCAGGAGTGCCTTCGAACTTCGGAGTTAGTGCAGAGAAGGGCCGGCAAGTCTCCTGAGCCTGTCTTCTGCTGAGCGAAGTGGGTGTTTGCGCTGCTCATGCAACGACCTCCCATGCTACGTCATGCGGGGCGGGGGGGGGGGGCCTTCAAGCCCACAGACTGCGCGCCATCGCCTTGCCTGTCACTTTGCGGATGTCCGTGTTGACCAGAAGCAACAGCCCTGCACCCTCCAAAGCCTATAAAACACGCCCTACACCCGTAAAACTTGATACCTACACACGTAGACCCGGACCTTAACCTTTTGCTGCATCCGAACTAAACCCTACACCCGACATCTTCGGGGCCAGGCGCTGCAGAGCTGACGCGGCTCACGCTGGCACCAGGAGCCATCGTGTGCAGTGTACAGTAGGGGTTAGGGGTTCCAGGGTGTAGGGATGAGAAAGGTTGGGGGGGCTTCGGGGGCTTCTGGGGTTTGATTTTTAGGGGCTTTGTTGGGGGGGGGGGGGGGGTGGTTTTGGGCACAGGCTAATTACACTGATAAACTTCGCCAGAAGCAACAAGGGACCCCTCTTTATTCCGAGGTTGCCGGGGATAGCTCCTTTTGTCGAAGTCGTCGTTTGAGCTTGGAGATGTCGAGGGGTTTGTTCCGGGTTTCGAGTTTTTGGTTTTAGCATTTAGCTTTGGCTGCAGGGGCCTTCGCCTTGGGCGCAAAACATAAAGGTGTCTATCCCCGTCTGTTCCTGCCCTGGTCTTGCATCTGTGAGCCTTGTGTTC